CTATGCTGCGCTCGGCAACTGCAGTTGATGCTCTAATCGGATTCAGGTCACGTTTGAGCCCCCGGGGCTCTGACTGATCTAAAAATAGCGAGTATGTGCATCCTGCACGTGGACCGACGATTATCCTACAACATGATGGACGTCAGGCGGACTGCCAGCTGGAGAACTCGCCAATTATGGTGGAAGTCACCGTTTGCCGGGACATACCGACACACATACTGTGTATCTGAAACTGTATGAAGAGTAGGTACTACTTAATTGTTTTGGCATATTATGAAAGATAATTTTCTACTTTCATAAAAGTTGAAAGAGATTTCAAGCAATAGATAAAAATACGTCTTTATATTAATAGTAATACTCGCATAGGATGTAATCGTGCAGTCATGTCATAGCTATACTAATATTATAAAGAGGTAAAATTTGTAAGTTTTTATGTAGGGGGTAATCTTTGGAACCACTCACTGGTCGGATTGCCAGAATTCTTTCACCGACAGATAGCTGCAATGTTTCTGAGTGCTATAGACTATAAAACATCACGCTATGATTCAATGGAGCCTAGCTAGCTATGGTATATAACTACTAGATAACTAAAACAAAATGTATATACATATATAAGAGATTAGATGCAGCACGTGTAGTTCTGATCGCGTCACTATCTTTGACATTGTTCGGTAGACGACGATGTGATGAAACTGGTGGAGACCCGGCGAGTTCAGCCATCCGTAACGAACTATTGATTCACTTGGCTTATCATTTATCAATTACTTGCAGCTTCTGTTACAATTGCACACGAGTAGACAGACTTAAACACTGATGTTATAACGAAACATCAAGTCTTTGGACAACACATTATTACTCGATAGATAAAGTGCACAATATAAAATGTGGCACGTATGACCAATTTAAGAACAATCATTGCAAATTTGCAAATATTGGCTACGTCAACGAGCACTGAATCAAGTCGCTATTGCCAAAATCCTCCATGGTGCTATAATATATGTATGTTCTTTGCAAGTTACACAGACAGGGCACAATCCTAGGTCCCGTACTAAGAATTTGGAAAACAGAAAACATAATAATACTTCCTACATCCTCCCTTTCTTCCTACTCAAGAAGCACCACTACCGCAGGGTTCTTGCAACCTACTCGATAAACGATAGTCGTTTTATTCATGACATTAAATTTTATGGACCTTCAAATCCTGTTACACTCCTCATTTACATCCAAATTAAGTGTGTATAAATAAATAATTAATTAAAAATAAAGATTGAGGTCTATAAAATTTATTTTTACTCCAAAACCTTATTGGATTTAGAAAACATGTCCAAAATGTTCAGTAGTGGAGATGGAGATGTGAAAGTCGGTGTCCGATGTGTCGCGGATGTGTCGCGGCTGATGCAATGTGGCGGGCGGTGGAGGTGTGCGCTCACATGGCCCGGGACGACCTATTGGATCATCATCATTATTATCATCTCGCCAATATGTCACTATTATCTCTCGTAGTTACACATGTCTACTGACACTTTCTAGAGAAAATCATTTGTGTGGATGTTTATTATGTACTAAAGAATGTAAGAGATTATGATTTACTTCTGAATTTTATGACTTATTTATACTTTAATTTTCTATACATTAGTATAAAATAACGATTTAAATAAAATAAGCTATCTGCTGACTAAAAAACCAAACCAATGGAAGACATGTAAGAATACACAGAAGTAGGGAAGAAATCCAGGAGAACTATCGAGAGTATATCCATCCAAGCTGAAATGATGACGATGATGGACTGGGAAATCACTTAGATCATTGGCACCCTTCCTTGGTTCCTGGCCTCAATCGAATGGACTTCATCAGCGGGTTTATTGATGTTCTAGGAAGAGTAGGAAGTATTACAACATAGAGTGGAGCGTGCCCCTTATCTCACGTCTGGCGCGAGCTGCTCTGTCTGAGGTCACGGGTGACAGATTATAGCTGTTGACGTACTATCTCTTATACTAATAAAGTGCACTTTATTATATGTGGAGTGTATCGATACACGTGTCTCTTGTATCAGGCTGATACTCCGCGTGAAGGCCACTCCACTTGTATATATTTGTGTCATATATTTCTATATCAATATTCTAATTTGAGGTATAGATACTTTATTAACTTATGTTCCCAGTGATGCTGTGTCACTTGGAAACTCAATTACTCTGACAGAAAAGTTTCGAAGTAATCTCTCAAGTTTTTGGGTCAACGTGTAGGTACTGATAATATTTTCGTGGAATAGCCCGTGTTGGGACTTTGTTCAGACTGTCAGTTTATAGTCCTATACATCATCATCTCGTTACTGCACGTCGATTCTATAAAATTTGTTTGATTTTGAATCGTGTTCGAGTGCGAAGTGAGCGTCGAAGTGACGGGTAAATTTAATTTTAGAATGCCACTTTTAACGTCATTTCATACTTTATCGTTCAAAATGATGCTGTCAATTTAGTTCAACTCGCAAGTGTAGCGCTAGTGTACTACTACTCACGGCGGATTCAGGTTCGAAGTTTAGAATGAAGTCTTACAGAATCACACCCCTGTTCAGTGTTGGACACAGCCATCTTCAATAGCTCGCCATTTAGCTTGATCTTCAGTTTTCATCAACCACTGCCAGCTACTTTGCTATATATCTATAGTCGTAAAATATCTTCAAAAGCATAATTCTTCTTAGAAATGCCTATCTTGGCAAAACTGCAACTGCCAAGTAAAATCAAGAACATAAAAATAGCATTCTCCATGTCTTTCGCAAATTGTGGTTGGGCAACGTCATTATGAATTTAAATATTCAACATATGTTTGTGTATGGCGCAAAACCTGTTCATTGGTTTATGATAACGGCTACACATATAATGACGCATGTGTAGACAATAATTGGTTTATTCTCAAAAACTGGTAGAGGATGTAAACAGATCTCGTGACGTGGGTCGACATGTTGCGAGAACATGTTTGAAGAGAAACGAGTCAGAGGAACCATGCCTGCCCTACCATGCTGGGGTAAGTAGGAGTGTACAAGTGACGTCAGATTGGACATGCTGCATAACCTACATTGCTAAATTCTAACAGACTCTGTCTGTATCTATATTATTGTTTTTTTTAGGAATAATAAATTGTTCATTACTTTCACGGCTGACAAGAGACAGCTGCTGAATGTAGTGGCCGGACAAAGGTCATCACATAATTTCCGTTACTTAATACGACACTATCTGGTATAATTTGTTCGTCATTGATATTCTTCTCCAGTGTGGAATAGAATACACATCATAGGTCAGAAATAAGTTGCTACAAATTCTGGAGATTCCATACTATACATTCTATTGATAAACTTTAGCCAGTCACAAGTCTCTTGTTAACGAGTTACAGTCTATCTGCTGTTTAGGATTACGCAAATCGATAAGTTTAAAGAATTTATAACCTAAAAACTGCAGGTCTATCTTAATGTTCATCACCAAGTTTCAATTTTAGTTAGACAAAATTATTTTGACTGAATATACGCCAGCGTTGTCTTTCTATTGTATGCCTATAAGTAATAAAAATAAATCAACAGACTCAAATATATGTATGTATGTAAAATAATTTGCTTAATCTATATTGTCTGGTAACAATAGAGGCTAATAATGTGATGGATTCGAGGAATACCTCCTCCACAATATTAGACAATACTCAGTAATGCTGAGAGTATCTGTTTATAGACAACAGAAGAAATATTGGATAAACAATATGTAGCTCTCGCATCATTTTCTTGGAATGCATTATAATATCGTAAAACTCACAGAAACAAAGTCAAAACATTTCTTCTATTTAGACTCACATAGGTATATTTGAAAGACAATGTACAATTTTACAATAAAAAAACACAAAAAGCAGTTTAATAATTTAAGTAACTTTAGATGAAGACTAGAGGGAGTTACTCGGAATAGAATATTAATTAAAACTGGAAAATCCACAATGGTCAATGTTTTTCATTGTCATGTTTCTGATTTGTGGTAAGTCCCAACATTTATGCCATCACATGACATGCACATGAAGCAGGAAGGTCAAGGACGGTAGATATTTCCAAATATAATATGTGATACCTGGCAAGAGAACTTGTCACTAACCTGTAACATTATTTACATTCACATCTCAGAAATTTGTTTATCATTTTTCTCCCTCCTTTTACCGAAAAAGCATTCTGCTTTCTAGCACAGCATCGACTAAGCCAAACTTTCAATAGGTATCTGTGACGAATGTGTAAATGAGTATTACGAGTTTATGCTCCGATGCAGTTACGGTGAATAAAACCTACATGCTGTGTTGCATGTTACCTAAGCGGATTTTTTCCTTTTCAATTATTGTCATGACCTTCGGTGCATTTTCAAGGGTGCTTGCCACATCACAGCTGCATTCCTAGAATAACGGAAACTATTGCATGCAGGCCATGCAGCAGATATAATTGCATTTAACATGACTCACTTTATTTTGAAGTCGGGTAACGTGGAAACTTACCACAATTATCTCCAACAAAGCCTGCAGTTGGGGAAGGATATCTAACAAAGAGTTAATTTATTTCATTTTTTGCTCGGAGCCGGGCGCGCTAACTACCTTGTTGCATGTGTAGGGGCAGTCAGGTGCCAATGTGACTTTTACCAATGTCATTCGTAACCCCGACTACACCAATGACGGCATCATCAGCTCCTCACAGACACGCGAAAGCACAGTCATCCATCATAACACGACATTAAGATAATGGACGTTAGAATGGACAAGAATCATATAACCATCTGTCCTTGAGTTGTATGGAAACGTAATTAAAAAAAAAAAACTTTCCTGTACAATAAAACATGAATAAATCAGCATTTCCTGAAACGAGTATATGCTTCGATAACATTAAACGATAGTCAATAAATATGTAATAAAGATATAATACAGTAATGCCCTTCAGAAGTTAGTCATATGTTCTTATACATATATAGCTATAGATATAAATATAAGTATTATGGAATTGCTGCTAACAGCGGCGGCGCGCGGCAGTTGAAGTCATTCTCAGAAATATTGTGTTGTTTCCATGCAAAAACTTGTGTGGATAGACTGAGTGACGGTTGTGTAGCACAAGTAGCTGAATCATTGTCTGCTACCACGCTCTGTGGTTTCGATTCCCACTACGCGTAAAAAATATCTTCAAAATTATCCGTATCGAGGGGTTAAATATTTTTGCCACACCAGTCAGAATGTCCTTCAGAGTCCTTCAGAGATAGTTTTCGGTCAATTTTCTCATTTTCTTCCTCCTGTGACCTCACACGTGACTCGCTACCACCAGTCCACACACACCTTGCGCACCCACAGCAATATACCGCTGGTGACTAACCGAGCGATCTCTGATCGTATGATACAATTAGCACAAGATAAACTTATGTATATCACCTCGCTGCTGATACCCGATATAGCTCCTGATATAGTTGACATAAACATGAATACACCAATTAGATATATTATCAACCGTGTGATAACTCATACAAACTGGTAAGATTCCCAGAATTGCAATGTTGTCGCTAAATTTACTTAATAAGTAATTCACACTTAGACATAAACGGTAAATGTTGCCAGTACTGGTTACTATAGAAGATAATATTTGTGTTTTTTATATTTATATTTTCTGTCAACAAAAAAGTGTAACAAAATTGTGTGTAGGTACAAATTACGTAAGCAGTTATTTAGTACTGGGTACGGAGTGGTCCAGTGTGCGAGTAAAAACTTTGTAATACTAATAATATAGGTTTGTGAGCTCAAGGTTAATAATACCTACTCTACTTGCCGTCCACGAAAAACTGAGGCCTTCGAAGTTTTTAAACAGCCACGAACAACGTTGCTGTAAAGTTAAAAATAAAACCTATTGATATACCTCCCTTCTGAAGGGTATATCTAGGAATAACAATAATAACCAGACAGCAGTTAGGTACTTCCAGGTCAAAAGTACCTAAGTCCTAGTACCGTACCTACAGTGTTAACTTTGAAAAACAATCGATAGATAGATATCTTGTTAAACGATACTCAGCCTTATAATCGACTAAGTACTTATAACACAAAGCAGTTCTCGTAATAGCTCAATCATGGCTAAAACTGAAGCTCGTTCCGTTCGTTGTAATTATCGTTTTAGAAGTTCCGATACATTTAATCGTTTCCTATGGGACTGTGAAAGATCGTCAAGAAACAGGAACCACGGAGTAGCTAATTACTCAGCGAAAATTAAAACTAATAGGCCGATTTCGACGGGCATCTTCACAAAATGATAGATCTACTTGAGATGACCTCATGCAAGATCCTGACTGTTACAAATCAAAGTGAACTAACAAAGGATGACTCTTAATTAAATTTATCTAAATCTCCAGTCAACCGCACCTCCTTAGTGGTAATTTGTCATTCGCAGAGCCTTAATTACACCACAACTGGTTGTCAAGTCATTTAAAGTAAATAAATATTTAAGCAATGATAATTAATGTATCGCTAAAGCTACGGTCCGGTGGGACATAAGTATATCAAAATAAATAAATAGTTTAACAGAACCCTGTCAAAACTAAACCTCTGCATCGTAACAGTGCGCTAAAGGCTTGAATCAATATTTTGCGAAGTTGCGCACACGCACCTCCCTCCTTCCCCCACGGCCTGTTCCGCCATGTTCACTTAGCGACAGTAATGGCCGACAAAAAGTTGTTATTCAATCTAGTTTGAAGAAAAAATTGTTGTTACCAACTCGCGCAGCCTGAAGAGTGAGCAGTGTAGCTATAAAGATGACCTCTCTTTCTATTTGTTAATTTTTTGCTGTTTTTCAAGGTTAGCGGCGAAGTTGTTAACTGTAAAATTATTTCTAGTTTAGTAAGACCTCCGATAGAAAACTTTATTCAGCCTACGTAACCACATTTAGCTCCAAGTTGCTTTTGAAAAGATTCTTCAAAGTTTTAACAAACAGTTTATACTAAATGATGATTGTGTATCTGAACGGTTATAGGTTTAAACCGCTTATATGAGATAGATACAATTAACAAGTCACATATGAATGCAATCGTATGTAAAAATCTAGTTTTATGTCACTTCAAACTGCAAGAAGACTTATCAGACGGCCAAATGAGCTTACTTAACGTCGTCTATATAATTAAGAAGCATTAAAATGCGCAAAATGCATAAATGCAGGGAAGCCTGCGTATGCAGTCTGATCCGACTGAGACACGTCGCACGATGGACTGAAGCCTTACAGGACTTAGGAACAAAATAACTGATTACATTATTGAAAAATACCGTTACACAACTGAATATGATATAATTATAACGAGTATACTTGTTTTTTTAATTATACTTGCTTTATGTAATAAGCTACATAAAATATCTTCGGCAACTAATGCTCGCAAAAATCAGCTCCTGAAGGTGAATCGCTATGTCCAAAAGACAAGAAGACAAGAAGATCATTCATTGTCCAGGAGAAAAACAGGGAAGCCGTCTCGGCCCCTTTTGCAAAGTGGTCATGCTTGCTAAGGAGGTCGTGGAGCGCGTGTGGGATCGATCTTCCTAACGCTCCAGCTGCTGGAAACAGTCTACAGGTTGTGGAATCTCTCTCGAGACGATCTCCGACTATCCTGTCGGATATCCTGTGGTGGCTCACTGTTCGACCAGTACTAGACATGTGCGCGGGGCGTTTTAAATGGCCGTTTGTCCACAACAGATAAGGACATCTATGGTGCAATGTGAGAGTGTGGGTCAAGCGTGATAATGTTTCGCGACATCATTACCCAGAAGAAAGAAGAGGATGCTTTTAGTCAGTCAAAGTCTGATGCTCTTCCTCGTAACTGCTTTTCCTCCCTCGAAAGAAAATACGTCAACCGAATTTCCGTGGGTGGCGTACCGGTTTGTGATAATTGGGTAGTTTCCTTTTCAACTAGTTTCAATACAACAAAATATTCAAAAATAACTATTCTTTTATTCATCAATCTGTCGATACACAAAAATTTCCATATTTTTTCCTTATTTTTAAGAATTAAATAAGCTATTTGTCGCAAAAATACAATGACGTCATAATTAGAGGTATCATACAAATTTCATAGAAAGGTATCATTTTTGACATTCGGATAAAAGTATCGCATTCGACTAGTGGAAATCTACCGTATCTTTTAATTTTCATGTGCAATTTATACAATAAAATAATAATTGTAAGTTAAAAAAACAAATAATCAATATCACGTTTTTATAATAACTATCGTGAGACATACTAAATTACCTAAAAATCGCGGGTTCCTCACGTGTATATATTGAGAAAAGCTCTACTAGTTTCGAACCACAGAGGGGTTCTTCCTTATGAGCAGCGTGCGCGAACGCGGCGACGTCACGCAGTCTACTCGCTATGGTTCGAAACTAGTAAGTAGAGCTTTTCTCGATATATGTATGTATACACGTGAGTAACCCGCGATTTTTAGTTCATCAATATCACATTTTTAGCCCTCAATCCACGACCCCGTAACTCGTTGTTGTTCAGCAGCACCAAGACAGGACAGGAAGCGCGCGGGCGCTGGGCGCGGGCGCTGCGCGCTGCGCGCGGCGCGCGTATGCCGCGCTCTCGCTGGGCGAAACGACGTCAGTCGACTCAGTCGCGCGCGAGCGTTCATTGCCGCGCTGTTAATTTATAAATTTCATCTACAAAATGGACAAGAAAACTGCCCTCCGTTTAATCACAATATACGGCTCTTACAGAGAGCTGTGGGATAGCAAATGTAAGGAATATTATAACAAAAAATTACGCGAAGAGCTATGGGATGAAATAACCAAGAATTTTAATTTGCCTAAGCACATATTAAAGGCGAAGTATACAAATCTGGCGAGCACGTACAGGGGGGAGAGGAGTCGAGAGAAATCAAGCGTTTATAGTAAATCAGGTGAGTTTTAATGACATTACTTAGTTACCATTGATAATTTTATATTACATGTTATGATAATTGATATGAATGATTTTCCTTCCTTATTTTATGTATAACATGTATTTGTTGCAGGTGCTAAACGTCAGTCGGCGTACAAGTCCAAATGGTTTGCATACGATGCATTTAATTTCTTAAACGAACATAGTTATATTGTCGCGCGCTCCCCTACTAGTGCAGCGGTATGTATTACATATTTCATAAAGTTCTTTTTATATGATATAAGTCGGCAAACGAGCAGATTACCTGGTGGTAAGCAATCAGCCGCAACACCGAAGGATTTACAAGTACGTTGTCGGCCTTTTAGGGATAAGGGTTTTGGATATTAAGGATTTGGGAGGGATTGCGGGGGGGGGGGGGGGGCGAGAACTGTACCATTTCGGTAACCTCACTCACACGGGGAAACACAACGCTGTGGTTGTTTCACGCTGGTCTTCTGTGAGGCCGTGGTATCACTCCGGTCGAGCCGACCCATTCGTGCCGAAGCATGGCTCTCCCACACTATACTTTCACAATACTTACATATATACAATCACTCAGTGAGCTAGTCAAACAATTGTTCCACCCAAAATCCGAAATAGCATTAATGTTTTTAAGTAATGTAGCTAATTGTTGTTTTGTTTAATGATTGTCATTTTCTAATACTACACCATTGTTAATTGATCTACAATACAAGTTAAATTAAATTAAATTTTAAAATCAAATCCCTTATATTAAAATACTATGTACTGTTCAAACGAACATACAAGTTTGTACTTTTTAATTTGTGCCCTCGGTCGTTGGTCGCTAAGTGGATTACAGCACCTCATCAGCCGACCACAGCTGCTTCTGCAGTTGACCTGACTACATGTTATACATGCTGACATGTTGTCATCATCATCGGCCTATAAGCGCCCACTGCTGAGCAAAGGCCTTTCCTCACACGGAGAAGGCTTGAGCATTAATCACCACGCTTGCTCAGTGCGGGTTGGCGATTTCAAACTTATAACAAGATATTATAATTCCACGTTTCCTCACTATGGTTTCCTTCACAGTTTGTCAGTGGTGTTTAATAATCTTAGAAAATATGTACATATGATATTCGATGTGCATGTGAAATTGTATGTTTGTAAACGCACCCACGACACCGGAGAAAATCCTAGTGTGCGGCAATATTAATATACATATATATATATGCCTTGGGTAACGTCACATTGGTACATGCCAGGTTTCGAACCTGCGCCCTCATGCAAGAGAAGCGAGCGCCTTAGCCTCCGGGCTATTACGACAACTTAATTTTATTACTGGATATATGTATAGCTTAGGAACTAGGAAATCGCAAATCGTTCTTCAGAATTTTATTGTTATCTGCTTGTTTTGCACATTCGAGTACAATACAAAGTAGCTGAGTCCCTGTATGAAGTCATATTAACACTTAATGAAATGCCGTAACGCCGGCTCTTATCTCTCCACACCACATACTCGTGAGGCGTGTGGAGAAAAAACAACAATAAGAAATGTACGGTACCTACATATATATATATTAAAATCCACACACACGTTGAGTAGATATTACACCTATTATAAGTACCGAAGCCACATTGATTTATTTTGTGGCTGGACGCCTAATATAATCCCTGATTGCTGAGTCTCCCAAGTTTATAGTTCTAGGAAAGTTTACAATAACATTAAACCTAACTTAAATAGAAATTGAAACCGATTGACTCAAAACTCTAAGTTTAGAAGACAGGCTAATAAGCCTTTTCAGAACTGAAGATAGGAGTGTGCTGCCTACTTATTACAATTGAAAATGAAACTGTAATATTATTATACACTAGCTTCCGCCCGCGGCTTCGCCCGCGTGGTATGGTGGTAAAAAAAAATATGTTCTATTCCGGCGTGTATCCTACTATGCCTGTGCCAAATTTCATCCAGATCCGTTCAGCCGTTTTGGCATGATTAAGTAACAAACATCCAAACATCCAATCATCGTAACTTTCGCATTTATAATATACGTAAGATAATAATATGTATACACAGTATACCCGGCACCGACACACACAAAGCATTCGAGGCGGAACACACCACGGTTGCCAGTGTTGCCACGCAAGTCAACAACTCTTTGTTGCCACACTATATAATTAAATATTATTACCGGGAGGTATTGTGTTCGATCCCGGTCGCTGCATTGTTACAGTAACGCTAATGTACATTAGGAGCTTTTTGTACACATTAATGGCTGTCGTAAATAACTGGATTTGTGATTGATATGTGACGTTGATGCCCCAGCTTAGGGGATGCAATACACATCAACTGCACCTTATTATATTCTACCAGCGAGGAACAACTGTAGCGAATTCAAATAGAAGTTGCCCCCTGTAGGGCTTGTGTTGCTATGGCAGCTTAGTTTAGCTCCATAGCTAATAAAATGCGTTTCATATCGAGTACGAAAGATTAATAAATGAATAAATATATCGGTAATAAAATTGCATAGTAACGCTTCCACTATCTCGCTACCCGGTTGAGTACTCCTCAGAGATCGGGTCGGCAACCGTGCGATACACATTCATCACATCATAGGCTGATGGCGGTAATAAGCGAATGCTCCGAAATGAGTGCGCAGTGTGGCTCCCCGTCAGGGTACAATTGTCGTAATAACCCGACTGCCGACTGCCGACTGCCGACTGCCGAGCCCCCATCGGCTCCGGCAATGTAATACTTGCTCTTATCGAATGCCTTCTATACTGTGCCTACTATAATTTAGTTTTTTTACAGTATATGCTAGAATGGAAACAGAAGTCAAAATGCTGACAAAGAAAATTACACACAGTATACGGCACGGGAACTGTAAGTCTTGTCACCTCGTATGTTAACCGTGTTATTTGCTTACTGATTACAGCTAAGTAGGCGATTTTATTGCGGACTATAACTTATGATTATTGATGAGTGCGAGCTGACAGTTACTTCAAACAAAGCGATCCCAAGCGGAAACAAACGAGGACAAAGTGAATTTGTGACTTTGTATGCACGTAGTGCTGCGACAATGTAGCAGCCGGGGGCGTGGCTCGTGTGGCAGTGACGTCACACTATAAAAGTCACATTTTATAGCGCGCAATATTGCTGGGATCACATGCACTGCAATTGTTGATAATCCTCTATCGAGGATCTCGCGTTGCGTCGTAACTCAGGCAGAACACAAAAGTGTCACTTTTATCTGTGAACTTTGCGTATACCGTGCGCTCCCTTATTATACAGGGTGGGTCGTAAAATGGTCCCACCTATTTTGCACTCGTAAAAGAGGCTCGTAAATTTTACGTCACAAATGCGTCTCATTGTTGGCTGGGAGCGGAGATAGGCAGGGATCGAGCCCCATCGAATAATCTCTGGCTTCACGATAAGTCGCGCATCCACGATCGTTCGGCTGTCGATACCTCGAGTGGGTATATCGATAGTGTAGTGAATATTATTCAAATATAAAAAAATGTGGAAAACAATACCAAGTAACTTCTAATTACAGCATGTAAAATACTGAGGTACACCATTACAAATTCTACGCGCATGTATAAGAATACAAGTACAAGTACAAGACGTTCAATAAGTAATCCGTGGCCCAAAACCTTTGTGTGGGCGGAGCGGCGATACATAGTACCTATATACAAGTTCCACCTAGAAGAGAAGAAACCTAGTGTAAAGTTTACTAGATAATAATCTATTCATCTGAGAGGGACAATAACATAAGCAAAGCACGCTAAGATGACAACCACTACTTATTTTATTTAAAATAAATTTAATTTTCGATAAGCCACACATGTGTCTGAATAATAGAATGCAGGAATGTCCTATATTCACAAAACAACATTCCCATAAAATGGAGGAACAATTGCGGGGTGTTGCGTGCTAACGTAATTAGTTGGCTGTTGTATAACCAATTATGCAAATATATGAACCCCAAACGTGGCGGTGCACCTGCGCCCACGTCACACCTGTGGACAATGTCCAGCAACTGATTGTCCCCTATGTTGCCATACACAATACCTACTTGCCCATTCAAAATCTATCGATAAGTTAGAAAACATCGCCATCGTAGCACATCACTAGGAATTTGGCATAATCTTTCGTTTTCTCCCATATTGTTTTTAAGTTACGACAGTTTTGGACAATGGCTCGGAAATCCGCAGCCCGGCCCCAACCCCGGTACCCCACGCTCCGCTTGACGGTGCACCCGAGTAAGATAAAAATAAATTCATTCTCCAACACTCTGTACATTACAGGGTATACATAAGGTCGTGATATGAAACATTTTCCACATGATTTGTGTTTCGTTTCATTTCACTTTCCATGGAGTTACATGTACTTCGTTCTATGCTACTGAATTGATGTTTCAAGCATGTTCTATACTATTACCTTACTTGCCAAATATGTATCATGTGTAATAATATTCGTACAGTTGATACAAGTCGCACGGTTCGCATGGTACAGAGCGTGTCGTAAATAATTATAATGATATTATGTATGTGTGTGTGCATTATGAACGAGGTGACAACACAATTACAAAGAGCCACAGCCCGTTTAACCAGTAACCAGATAATACGATAACCGACGACGACTTGCATTTAATTACACACAAACTAAACGGGATTTATGTGCAAACATAAATAACGATAAAATTAACAGTGTCCTCGGAGAAAATAGAATTTCATTAATTTAATCACGACGACCTGCCCTCCGACAACAAAACGCTTCGAGTGGAGAACTCGCGCCCTCACACCCTCCCCTTCCCTCGCGCGCTGCTCAACGAGCCCTCTCCACTGAATGGGAGCACACGACCAGCAAGCGAGACCCCCGCAACAGCCGGCCCACGAACATGCGCCACAGCTGTGGAGCCACACCAGCAGTCAATTTACGTTGGCCACCAGCAGCCTAGCGTAATCAGAACTCCCAACTTAAAGATTTATAGCACCGTTACAGGTCTCCCTAAATGGACCAAGTTTTATGGTCGGCTTCTTTGTTACCGAAGTACTGAAGGTTTTATTTGGGAATTTTGTTTTAAATTGTATAAAGGAGATCAACTATTGTAGTAAATTTTACGAGGGTCCGCACAGGAATACTTGGGAATACTGATGCCGTGGTCCGCCGGACAGCGCTCGTAAACGCAAGCAGTGGAGGCTGTGGAGGGATTACTAGATTGGTGAATTGTACCGAGTGTGCACCGAGGCTGGGACTACAGCGCCAGTACATGCTGCAGGGACCTAGCTGCTGCCGTACGTACATAACTTCCTGTTTTAACAATATTCCTGACGACTATGCATCGTTAATTTGCTTACATCACAAGTCAAGCTTACAAGTTACAATACAACCAGACCAGACAGGACCCCAAACGTATTGTTTCTAGTTGACTCTGTAATAATTAGCTTTTATTTAATTGATCTAAGGTTATACCGGAGGTCCGGCTAAGATTACTAGAGCCCCAGAACGTCCAGGTAACGACTGCAAGTCGGATTAAATATTCGTGTAGAAGCGGGCATAGACTGCAGCCAGGCGAGCGCTCACACAGTGATGTAACGCGGCCACTCGCCGAGCGGCCCGCGAGCGAGCGAGCGCACACGAGCGGCTCCGAGCAGCGCCGAGCCGGCGTAGTACTGCTCGCGGCGCGGCTGAGCGAGCCTGTGCCGGGCTGTTGCGTTCGTGCTCGCTGCTCGCTCGCTCTCTAAATATATTTATCGAAGTAAGGCGCACTTCGTTCGGTGTGAGGGGGCGGCGCGGCGCGCGGTATCGACCTTGACATTGCGAGCGAGGGAGACAGGTGATGGAGGAGCGCGCGGATTGGTCGGGCGACGCGCTGGTGCGGCTGCTGGCCGAGTACAGGAAGCGGCCGGAGCTGTGGTACAAGGGGCACCGCCTCTACAGGGAGCACTCCGCCAAGTACGAGTCCTGGTCCGAGCTGGCGGCACTCTTCCACTGCACTATTGCAGAATTGCGGAAAAAGCTGAACTCGATATTCGCCTCGTACCGTAGAGAGAAGAGCAAAATACGCCACGGCGGCAGCACGCATTGGTTCCTCTATGACCATTTGAAGTTCTTGCCGGACCACGTGGCAACCCCCGCGTCTGACGGCAACGCGGACGGCTCTCATAATGAGAATGCACTGGTAACTGTCGCTGCAGTAGCACATCCTTATACCTGCTGGTTCATCCAGCCATTATCAGTATCCTGCTGTAAACGAAGTCTCCTCAGTGTAATGCATAGTCACACAGTTGAGCACACCATTCGAGTCGTCAACAACTAAGTAGCGCCATGTTTCCCTGCGCGCCCTGCGTCATTTTTTTTTTATGGTATAAGTCGGCAAACGAGCAGAGGGATTCCCTGATGGTAAGCAATCGGCGCCGCCCATGGACACCCGCAACACCAAATGAGTTACGAGTGCGTTGCCGGACTTTTGGGGAAAGGGGTTGCGGATAAAAGGATCGGGAAGGGATAGGGGAAGGGGAGGGATTGGGCCTCCGGTAACCTCACTCACACGGCGAAACACAGCGCTGGGTTGTTTCACGCCAGTATTCTGTGAGGCCGTGGTATCACTCCGGTCGAGCCGACCCATTCGTGCCGAAGCTTGGCTCTCCCACACTTATGCCAAGTTTCATCATCCGAGACCATCGATCACTAAAATAAAGAACTAGATACACAAACAGTGACAAAATAATCTCCTAACTGAAAGTCCACCAAACTCAACATCGCGGTGTAGTTTTAGTTTAGTACCACTCGAATGCTCCGACGGTAAACATGCCTCACTGCTCGTTTAAAAACTGCAAAAATCACTCATCGAAGACGCAAAAAAAGGATGGAATTTCATATTTTCGGTAAGTAATAATATTATCATTATATAATTGTCATCATTGTATTTTAATTATTGATATTTGAATAAGAAATTAACTCAAAGAGTTTTTCCGAATGAAATCGTATTTATAATGCACACAGATTATAAAGACACTTATACTAAACGTAAAATCATTCTCTAGCATGACCACTTAAGTTGTTCGGTTTACTTGGATTGATTCTGTTCCGTTTCGTGGAGACGCTATTGTTTCAAATTTTATTTATTATTATTTTTATTAAGGATTATTTTTTGTTTAATATTATACCTTTTTACTGTATTTATTGTAAAATGGAATAGGCAGATATAATGGATTAAATTTTAACACCCATAACTGCATTAAAGAAATTTTATTTTGATTTTTTTAGCTTTCCTCTAAATCCAGTGCGATGTGAAAAATGGATTTCAATAGTAGCACGTCAAAGATGCGAAGAATTTTTTAAACCTACCCCAGGAAGCGTATTATGTTCGAAGCATTTTGTGGAAACAGATAAATATGTGACAAAAAAAGGCTTCATAAGGCTACTTAAGACCGCTGTACCTCAAATAGTACGTACAATTTTAATATATTGGGTTAAGTAATGCATGCAAATTTGCAAATATTAATTATAACTGTGCCCCGTGGTTTCACCCGCGCTATGTTAGGTCTTTAATTACTGCTTCTTTCCTGAGGCTCACACCGCGATGTTTGTACCTTATATCTTAACTGATGTATAACGCGTTACTTATTGCCCGTAGAATCATTATTTTGCTGCGGAGTTATTTTTAAACGATGATATCTTCTAAGATATTTATTGAAATTAAATTACGTAAAGGTACAATTTGTCTAAAATTTAATATTTATGCTGAATGAAGTATTTATTTCGATAAGGATTAATATGATGTCATAAAAACACCTTCGGAAATAATGCATTATTTTAAAACAATTTTTATCGCCATAAAAGTAGCTATATTGAGTCAACCTTAAAAATTGGACATATAATACCGCGGACTTTATTTTAACTAATTTTAATACATAATTTGTCATAAATTTTACGGTTTACGCAGCGCACCCAACGAAAGCTCTTAAAAGGAATGTTTTTCCCAGTTCTTGCCACATTTTTCATTATTTCTCCGCTCCTATTGATTGTGGCGTGATTTTATACACCCTTTGTCATTCGGGGTTATACAATGTATTAAATCGGTTCAGAAAACACAAACAAAAAAACAAACAATCAAATCTTTCCTCTTTATAATCTCAGTATACATTTATTCATGTGTTTTGTTTATAGGAAACAAATGATCACGAAGTAGATCAAAAGAGAGAAGACGAGTTAAACATAAAATTGATTGAACAACGTAGCTTGCAACCACAAGTAAGTAGTTGTATCTAAATATTATAATAATATTTTGACTTAGTACTTTCAGTTTGTATTTGTGTTAAAAATACAAATCTTACACATTTCACATTGTGTAAAAAATCGCTTTCTATGATACCATCGCCCATTGTTACACCCAATTAATTTAACACTCATACTGTTTTTATATAATGTACCTACAAAAAAGTAGTGGTGTATAACTAACATCTAATATTTTACTATTATGGTTCATTTCAAGTAAATATATCAAACATTACTGGTTTTAAAAACCCAACTTCATCTTTGAGCATTGGTTCTATCCTGGATACTCCCACAAAAATTGTGATTAAAAAAGAACTACTTGCTTGCAGAAAGCTTATAAATGAAAAAAACAAAAAATATCTCATTCACCGAAACAAAATTCCAGGTTAAAAAGAAAATACACTACAGTACGCCATTTAGTAAAAAGTATGAAGTGTGATGCATGTATAAATAGTTTATTAGCTCAAGATAGACTCTTTTTTCACAAACTTATTGATGTGAAAAACTAAGGAGGACTATTTATTCATCTTTAGATGTATTTTTTGTATGCAAAAAAACCGAAGTTGCAATTGCAATAAGGCACACACATACATGTACTAACAAGAACTTCGATATTTCTAAAATAAACACTAAGGTAAAGTACTTTTTTCCTTTTTAGGTGTTGATATATTTTCAGCCAAGTGTCATAACATTAATCAAAGGATTATGACAATAAAATCTATTGTCGAACAATATTTGAAAATAAGATTACATTACGTTGCAAAAAAAAGATACTGAAAAAAATAAAAATGTCTCCAAAAAACGATTGTTTAATAAACTCACTTTATTTCAAGAAAATTAATCTCATATGTATTCCCTATTTGACATTTAATGAAATATAAACGTTTACATTTAAGATTGTTTACCTTTAGTAAAATGCTTACACAAAAAGGCTAGGTATAGTATTCTGTCGTAACCATATATCTCTCCGATACTACTACTTATATGTGTACTTCAATCACGACAACAACAATCACGCCAACATTTTTAGTACTTACTTTCGATATATATTCTGTTTATTGTTTTACATCTTTTTTATTTGACTCTATGTATACTTTGAAAAATATACCAAATTTAGACCTAAGGATTAGTTTCATTGATAAATAAATGAACAAATCTATAGAAAAGAATACTATAAGTAATGCGTTTTAATTTAAGTTTTTTTTATAAATTAAAAAAGTATAAAAGAAACATATTTCTTACGAGGCATTTCGACTCCAATCGTTCCTTGTCCTAGCGGTGAGCCCAAGTCGTAAAATTTTATTGCTTATTTTTGACTCTTTGTAAATTCGACTTAGAGACATGCGAATATGGTTCAATTTGTTATGATGTATATTTGCCAAGAGCTTCGTTCGTAAAAAATGTTTAGGTTTTGTACATTACTTTGTGAAAACAACTCTATGCGTTGCTTTTAAGGTTTAATTTACATTAATGCATGTTTATTTCAAGTATTCATCCATATCATCCTTAATACAGTTGGCGACAGTTTTGGAGCGAACTTTTGTATGGAATTGTGTATCTAGTTCTTTATTAGCAATGACGATATAATGTTCTCTTTGTTTATTAGTGATCGATGTCCGAGACAGGTAAAGAACGTTAATTATAAACAGTATGTTGTATAACTACACTATATGACATCATAAAGTCTAGTTATACAACATACTGTGTCTACACAGATATCAACACTTTGTAACAATCGGTCAATTTATTTATCCATAGTGTCAATATATGTATAATCTCCAATGTGTCTGCCTGTATTGTAATGCCGGCAAATGCATACTGACTAATGTGTCACAAATTCTGTTCCCGATCGCAACAACTGTTTATATGTAGGATGTATAAAGTCTGGGGATGTGTGTGTAAACGCACCCATTTTACTGTAGGGTAAGGTTTTGTCCCAACTAAATGAGAATGTATAAATATTCCTCGTTGACGTGTAACATAAAACACTGAAGGTGGATCGCATCAAATTGATTCACTTTCGCGGATTGTGCTGGAATATTCTTAAGACCGCACCGCGAATATTTTGATTTTAGATAGCTCCGCCCACTACACCCCGCGCACTTACCGCGCGCGCAACCTATACTTTTCACTCAATGTGTAAAATTTGAATTACGCGCCAATCGCACACGCCGAGGTCAGCGCGGGGTCAGGAGAACTGAACAGGGAAGATAAGGAGCCGCAATACATTTCATTTTTTGATCGGATTTTTTTTTTTGTTGTACTTACAAAAGTTATTTGTAATGAAAACTTCTTATGAAGAGTAATATGATAATTTGGTCGGTATGGTTGTGAGTATGTATGTGTGGTGTGTTGTGTATGTCTGTTTGTGTATATCCAGAACAGATGAATCGATATTTATTTGGGGTTTTTTGTTTGAAATTTAAAGTAATCGGGAGTGTTCCTAGCTTTGTTTGGTGAATATCAGCCCAAGATGGCCGCCGCCCAAAATGGCGAATCGCATATTTTTTTACAATTCCTTCAATATGGGTATCAAATGAAAGGGCTAAACTAGTAGAATAATGTATAATATTATTTAAAATCCAAGATAGCCACCATTAGAAAATGCTGAATTGTATTGTTTTTTTTATAGCGCCCTCAATATGGGTATCAAAGGGTTGACTAGTGTAAAATAATCTTTACTAATATTGTAAGCTCGGTGGTAAAATATTTGAAATCCACTATTCTGTGATTCCCATCTTTTATTTTCTAGATCTAAAATATTTAAAACAACATATTAAATAAATTTTAAAATAAAAAAAGACTGAAAAACTGACTTCACAAAAAAACTAAAATCGAAGAGTTCCCTCGATGCTTTGTCATCTCTATTATCAGATCAGCTCTATATCTTCATGGTATTGCAGTGACATCAGACTTTCACCTGAATATCAAAAGTTTACTCAATACGGGCCTACAGTTTTCGAAAAATACCCTCGATTCCTTTTTTGTAACCTTCTCAAGGTTTACATTTTAAACAAAAAAGGAATTATTCAAATTGGTTATTACCTAAATAGCGGAGAAATGCGCGAACAAACATAAATAGCATATGTATGGTCGAATTGAGTAATTTGGGAAGTCGGTTTAAAAACAAGAAGACAAAGACGCTGGCAAAATCTAGATAGCTTTTAATGAAAGGTAACAAGTTTGATTTAGCAGACGCATACTTGTTCTCCTTGTGTTGCTACTTCACAAGGTAAATCCCATAGTTCGCTGACAGACTCTGTTTTTTCTTTATCTAGTTTGTTCTTTCCTTTCACGGGACCACAGGGTCCCAGCACTTTGGAAGGCGTACGAGGAGCCGAAGCCAACTCGCAGAGGCCCGTAGAACAATTTTAATCTAAATGCCATGGGACATCAGCTGGCAATTATCCCTGTATGCACTATAAAAGTGCACCCAAGGACAATCACCGGTTGATGCAGGACTATTGTGAAATGTGGTAATAATTGATAGGGTTATGGGTATGGGTTGCTATGCACTAGTGGATGAAAACTATGGAAATACTATGGCCCCTACCCCTGACCAATATTGATACATACGGATAAACAGGCAGGGGGTGACTGGCAAATTCAATTAATGGGCCCCCGGAAATGGCCGCTAGCATGTAGCGACACGGGGGCAACATACGTTGAGCTGCTTGGGGAAGATAAGGCATCCCACGGCTATCAGAGCAATCCCGGAAGTACGGTCAAGACCCCTACCAGCACCTTACTGAGATACATCCTTCCCCCGAGTCTCCTTCAACTCCTACTCTTGCGAATCTCCACTCAACCCAGCCAATTAAGGCAAGAATGAGGTAGGAGGGCTTGTTCTTCATCAGTGTTCACTCCAGCTCATCACGAGGACTAACCGGAGATGAAGAACAAGACACCTCCCGGGAGTCAGGCCCGTGGGGTCGCCACTGCCCAACAGCTCGCCACAAGCTGCCTTGCGGATTCTTTACCTATATTATTATGATTATTCACATCGGTAAATTTTGTTTTGCGTGTAGTTCTGCAAATAACAATCAAATTTATAAAAAACGAGTAACCGAAAATATTTTTCACCTGATCAAATATAAAGTATTTATAGACCCCCCGTTTGAGACTTACTCATTTGAAACATCCTTAATTTGTTTACGTTGTTATTCAATAACTTCACTACTTTGTGAAACTTTATCGAAGTCATGTATTTCTTCATGTCCCTGTAGTTGGCTGCTTTTATCAATATTACACCAGGTTTCTAATACCAAATGATTGCTGTCAATAAATACCAATAAAATATATGAATATTTCAATCCTATATGTACCTATATAAAAAAATCACTTGTCTTACGTTTCTTTCACATTCGTTGCTGGAATCGCATCTAAGTCGCTTATTGATTTTACTGGCAGAATCTGTTCGTTTTGCAAACTTTTCCTAAGAGACAATAAAATAAATATTTTGACTTAAAAATAACATACAACTAAAACAAAGCCTCCATAGATTTTCTGCTCTCAGAAGACTTATGCTTACGTACGTAGTACCTAACTATTTAGTGTACAATAGTAGTAAATAATATTATAACATTATAAATGTAAGTATCTATTTAAAAATCACTCAGGTTTCCTTCATATTTGTTGCTGAAACGGCATCTAAGTCACATATTGTTTTTTCTGGAAGAATCCGTTCATTTTGTAAACTTCCCCTAAAAGGTAATAAAGAAAAATAACACATAACTGAGAATTTTATACGGTTTCCATAGATTTTTTGTTCTACATTTTTTGAAGTTCATTTTTAAGTATTTTAAACCTAAACCTAATTTAATAATATTAGTATTACCTATAATTTATTAGCCGACTAAAAAAAAAATTACACGTACAAAATATTTACATAAAACCTAAAATTATCAATAACGTCACAAATTTATTACACCTACCGGCCGGAGCGACAACATGCACAGATCCGACCTCGAAGAGGGCTATCGCCGGACTGGCTCGTCCCCGTACACATTGTGTATCAATCGCTAGAGCACGGGCATAAGGTTCAGAATTGCGTAGCGTGTACCATGATCGCGGCCGCTCGAAAAATCCAATATCTTAAAACTTGATTTAAAAATGTTTGGTAATAGTTATGGAAAAATGGTTTTGACAAAACGTTAATATTGGTGTTACGAATATATTAGTGTAATTTTGAAACATAAAGATAGTGTAACTTACCTGTAATTTCAAAAATAGTACTTTTTTAGACGTGTTTTCGGAATTAATTATGATCGAGTAAAATTATCAGTATCGTGTTTTCGTTCAGACAGAATCTAGATAAAGGTATCAATTTACCTTTATCAAAATTTCAGATCCATTGGTAAGCTGGTATTCCTAAAATTTGGCATGCCAAACGGCAAATAAAATCAAGGTGGCGCCTTAAGCGATGAAAATATTATATTGGCTCAAAGTATTTTTCCCTAACCATGATTTAGTTGGTGCTGAATGAAATTAACTTCCTTCCCTATCTGACCTCCGACGGCTTTAACTTTATTAAAATTAATTACCCTCGAAATTCTCTTCAAAACCCTCAGTGAGAACGACCGCTTTCCGCGTATGGAAACCGTTAAAAAGCTTTTAAAATAATATTTTTGTATAATTAATTTGACAGTATTAATAATAGTAAATAAAATATTGTCTCCTGTGTCGTGGGTGCGGTTACGAGCATACAATTTCACATACACATGACACCCAGAACAACAATTTGTGGAATACACAAAGAATTGTTCCGTGCGGGAATCGAACCCGCGACACGTTGCACGGCAGCCAGTTGCCCAGCTACCGCACCGGCCGTGCAGTCACAGTGATCATTCCAAAGCTTTGCTGTGCGGGGCAGAAAATTTCGCGTGAATCGCACAGTTGTTGACTGCCAACCTGTGTGTGTGTTGTGGAACTATAATTTATATTCTCACAATTTCTCTTACTAGTTAAACATTTTAGGGTTAGACAGAAATAACAAACTAATTAAGAATCAAGTAAGGACCTTTTATTCGTAATAATCACATCGGGAATTATTATTTTCTTGTTGTTATCTTAAACAGTTTTGATTCGAAGACTTGTACTAATCACAAAAAATGGAATTTGCCGCAGTAAACAACAATACGGCAACTAGCAATGGCAGGTACTTACTCACGTTTGTGTGGAAAACTTTGATACATTATCAGTAATATCCGTATCTACTCACCTACTGATTATGTTACTGAATTAAGAAAATAAACTTTAGATGGTCGCTACAACGTCTGTAGTCCACTTTAAATAACACCTTATCTGCATAGATCAAGGTAGACTTTATCCTGGATGTACCTACACAGTTTTAAGTTGATTCGGATCGTCTTTGCCTCCATTTTGATATTTTCGATGGCGTTCCCATTCACAAACTCGGTCACTTTTAGCCGACTTTAATAATAGAATTAATTATTAAATTGTAAATTACTTAAATTTCATTTTTAAAGCGATGAGTACGATATTTGAAATAGTTTAACATTTTAACTTTTTTTTTTATGTAATAGCTCGGCAAACGAGCAGACGGATTACCTGATGGTAAGCAATCAGCGCCGCCCAAGGACACTCGCAACGGAGGAGTTACGAGTGCGTTGCCGACCTTTTAGGGATTAGGGATTTGGAGATTTAGGGATTGAGGAGGGATTGGGGAAGGGGAAGGATTGGGCCTCCGGTAACCTCACTCACACGGCGAAACACAACGCAGTGGTTATTTCACGCCGGTTTTCTGTGAGGCCGTGGTATCACTTATTCATAATTATAACCTTTGAGTAGAGAATAATTTATGGAATACAATGGGGCAAATATTAAATGAAAATGATTCGCGAGATTTTGTTGTCAGGCGAGGACTATCCTGAGCAGACAAGTTAATAAATCTATATAGAAACGTGTTTGTACACGTCACGTTTCCTGGTCTGTGTCATTTCCCTCTTTGTCTTCTGAGGTTCCGAGTCCATATGTTTTAAAGAAAACCAATAAATTACTCGTTATCTTTCGCAGGCCTCTTCCAATTATGCAACGGAATCGAGATCAGGCGAGTCATCGGATAATAACGAAGAGGAGGAAGTAGAAGAAGAGGAAGAGCAAACGGAGGATCGTGAACAGCAGGTAATAATAAAACAGGAGCCGAGCACCTCGGAGACATCGGAGAAGCAGCCATCCGCGCCCGCGCAGCCGAGGAAGCGAGGCCGACGCAAAATGTTCCCCAGGAGCAAACTGACGCAGCCCATGAAACGAAAGCAACTTAGAGGCCACGACGCCCTGGACAACAAGCTGCTGGAGGCTTTGAAAATATTGAAGAAGTCAGACCTGTCGCGGAAAAAAGACGAGTGTGACAGCTTCGGGGAGTACATAGCGATATCGCTGAGGAAGCACGACGAGCGCACACAGAGCATGATCAAGCAAGCCATCAACAACATACTGTTTGAGCAGGAGATGAGGATGTACAGCGCGGGGCAGTACACCGTGGTGCTCACCGGGGACGATGAGAATCCCCTCGTCTGCGAGGAGAAGTGAGCACTTGGTGGGCCGGAGCTGTGGCTGTGCCAGCAGCCAACATGGCGCCGGCACGAGTCTATCTTACATACGACGGTCAGTGACAACATTTTCCATTCTAGATACAAGAAGCTTCTTCTCGACTACGTGTGCTGTGACACCGAGTATGTGGGTTTCTGCATTTTGCATAGACTGATCAGAAAACATATATTTTTGTAAGATTCTAACAGAAGAAAATATTTGTATTGAAGTAGCGATGTTATGTAAGTACACATATGTAGATTTAAATTGTTACCTACTCTCTGCAAGTTAATATTAATTAGTTTATAAATTATACATACATACATACGTAGTGGAAGTGTTTATTATTATTGTGTTTCAGTTCTTTCCTCCTCAACTTGATTTTATTTTCAAGGTTATGTTTAAATCAATTAACTATTAATTTCCTATAAGAACAGCACACTAGGCTGTGTCGTCAGCCGAATACATTTTGCTAATTGAACGAACAATAAGTTTAAGTATTCATACTTTTTATACTTTGATAATTGCAATTATAACGGACTTGTGGAGGGATGTACCTAGTCACAAGTTGCATACACATTAGTGGCATGGTATTTTTGAAGCAATACATTTTAATGAACCGAAATATCAAAGTGACATGAAAACACAAACAGTTTACCGAAAAGCAAATAATGTATACCTAATTGAATTGTGCTGAATCAAGGAGCCATCACTAGTACATCTGACATGTATCGACAACTGCATTGGAACAAGTGCATTGTGCTCGCTTTACGTGTCTCCATTAGTTTTTACATGCATCGATCAATTATTTAGAGCAGTCTGTGTACGTGCCTGCGCATGCGCACACACGCCGACCTCTCACTGCGAAACACACATAGCCACACTAACGCTAGCTTCAGCCACCATTGCTGGCTCACCGCCCCCACCGGCCTGCACCCTCTTACTGAGTCTCCAATGTACATCAAACTCATCTATATTTACTTTAGTGATTCAATTAAATCAGTAGGGGTTGTTTGTTTTAACTCCGCTAGTTCTTGGTGTAACGTGTACATCGCTGGGTTTGTATTACAGGTGACTTGGCTACTGTAATGAAGCCGTGTATTGTATGCTGAGTATGTAGTAAGTTTCCACAAGAGCAACACCTTGGTAAGGTGCATCACGCCACCAACGCGCAACGTCACGTAGTGTGCGTGTGTGTGTGTGTGTGTGTGTGCATTTCGCGTGCAATCTAGCAATGCATTTGCATTTAATTGGCTTCAGTTACAAGAAATTTTTGCCCACAACAAGCTTCAATTTTTCAATTCAATCGCTTCAACGTGTCTTGTTATTAGTTAATTAATATGTTGGATGAGAATAGTATAATGTTGCCAGCGTGTACAATAGTTGGCGAATGTATTGGTCGCGGCCGACCTGAATATGTATGAGATGTTATTGCTATTCACTACAGACTCAAAAGTTTGGAGGCACATACCTATATACCACGTGTTACATGTTATTATCATACATCACACAATGTAGGTATACATCCGCTCACACACTAGCTATGTTTATATAGATGTTGTGTTCAATGAAAACGAAAATATCGCTTCGTTTGCTTACTTGTTTATATATAAAGTGTTAACAATACATTGTGACCCCGGCCGTTGTGTTTGACCCCGAATATAATTCAGTTCGGTGAGTCACGCGAATGCTTGAAACAAAGCTGAATGTGAATGAGTTCACGTATTTCATGATTCTAGCATAAATTATTTGAAAGTAAATTGTTTGCGCGGACCTAATAAATATATTACGTATCGTTGCCAAGTGGGTGTGGCGGTGGCTTATCATCCCGCGCATGCGCCCCGCCGCCCGCTGCCGCGGGTGGACTCCGCTGCTAGTTGCCAGGCACCTGATGTTACGCCGAGGTCCACCTACTGTTTGTAGCTATCTACAGGTACTCACATGAGAGTGCTATACCTGTAACTTTGTAGTGATTATGCACCTCCTGTGTCTATAAGTACCACCCTAATAATAAACATTATGCTAATGCTTGTAATACGCATCATAAGTAGGCAGGTCTAAACTCCTTCAGCTATAACTCCTGCCAACTGCTGAACCAACCCAATGTCCGGCCAGCGCTCACTGTCACTTCCTTCACAAACTGGTGTGAGCAGTGCCGGCCATGTTGCATCACCCGCCGTAGCTCGACCACATACTATCGCGAAGTTGCATCAGTCATGAATTACTTCGCAAACTACATTTTCCTCAATGAAACATTAATAATTTAAGGAAATGGTAAACTGTTGCTCAACGAAATAGCTACCACTTCACTGAAACCGGTTTTACACATTAAGTACGGTAGGTAGGTATCATTAAAAAGTAGGTAATCCACTGAAAATGTCTATACTGTATTAACTTATATTGCCAAGTGTGTGTGATAATACTTCTAAAAGTATTTTTTTTTTAAATAAAACTATGCACATAACGGTGATTAACATTTATAAAGCCACCCTCATCTGATACCATAAAAGCCTTCACCGCATCATCTTCCGAACTTGACAATCTTACACTAAAAGTTTAGTAAAACAAGTTTAATTTAATTAACGACGTCCCTCCTCAAGGGGTAACAGAGGTTAAGGTCAACCTGCAGAGACATGCGCTCTCAGCTTGAACCACTGCTCGATATATGAGTACCTAGTTACTCAATAATGTCTATTGATATATCAGCTCGGACAACATGCTCTCGCCGCATGATGCTAGGCTAGCAACCAGCAACAGTCGTTAAGGCAATGAAGTGGAATTATTATAATTGTATGTAATTTAAGATACCTACACTGTAACAACATCAAACAAAAATCTTCCATTCATTGCAGAGTTTCCTCAATGTGCCCGCGGACACGTCGGTGATTACTTCGTCCTACAGTATTTGAGACACACACACACACACACACACACACACATACACAGCTGAACATGTGCATTTGAATCGTGTTTGCCTTCATCCCACAGCCGCCTCACCAGACATATTGTCGCCTGTAGCTAAATATACACCTTACGTAAGTTTCAGCGCTACACATATCAATACATTCAAGTACGTCCCATCTCACTGAACGACATTCAACCTTGCGGCGTCAGTCATAATGGTGTTTTTTCCATATATTATCATGCTATCAGATATAGTTCGACCTCGAGTTATCGAAGCCAGACGTCAACGCCTTTGTTTTTGTTATTCGTTTATATCAGGATAAAGATAGTCTTAGGTAATGGATAATCTGTGATAAGATGGCTGAAGGGTGACAAACAGCCGGCGATAACAGCAGTACCAGGATACGATGACATGCTCTGTAGTTGCAGGTGTCAGGACGAGGAACTGGCTCAGGACTGGAGCCATCACACTGGTTTGTGCCTCGTAATAGCTTCTGCAGAGTGATCGTCATTGCCAACTCGTAATCTCTGTACATCTGCTGATTTCCAATACTTGATAAACTGGAACATTCCGTATTCTGTACATGACGAGGATGATCGTGATTGCTGTAATGAATATCAATCACACGATGCCACATTGTCGCAGTGAAGATGTCACTACAAATTAAAATAACATAAATGTAACAATAATACATATAATATTGTTTAATGTTATCATCGTAACCGTATTAAAATACTGTTTTATATTATTCGGCAGTGCTCACCACCTACGAGGCTGGAGTCCGCTGTCGAGGTACCAGGCTCGCATAATTGCAAGCGGATTTAATTCCACCGGTGTCAGCAGTATTCGAAGCCCTATGAGCACGGTGGATGTAAAACTACAATTTACTTTACTAGCTAGTGGTTACGCAAAATTATATTACATACGATTTAAACCCAGCTACTTTACTAATATTTTAAGCTTCTTAGTTAAACTACAGATTGTCATAATTATAAAATTAGTTGGCTAGTGGCTACAGCCATACTGGGTCCTGACAAAATTATGAGCTGAAGTGGTGATAGCAGTGCTGATCACTACTAATTACAGTGCTGAAGGTGAGTGGACTAATTACTGGCTGACGATAGACAACGACTGATTAAGACAACTTATAGATAAACTCCAGACGTTTCCATCTGTTATTGAAATGTATTGAACAAGGTTACCAGACCACTTGTAATGTAGCATCGATCGGCCGCACGGTAAGTGTAAAAGTGTGTAATTAGCAAAGAGGTAATTATAGCGATCTTGATGTGTATGAAGTATGTCTGCGCTGTGAGAGAGCACTTGGCAGCACTCGTGCGGCAGCCAGTGGACGTCATCTACAGTCTTGCTGCTCGACTGGTCCACTGTCACTAAATATAGATGGAGACATTATGGCTACAAAGATCAACCATTTGTCAACGCCAATGAAACATCGCTAACATAAATCGGAATAACATCTACTAAACTTCAGTAAGCAAGGATTGCCGTAGGAATCATTAACACACTTCGATTAGTTTTTGACAACAATAACGTATTTCAGACACCACTGTTTACTTAATGGGATCACAGATAGTTCGCGGAGGTACTGTGTATGTTTACAAGTCGATGTTTTACTGATATAGCACATGTTTGTGGATAGATTATTATGATGTCACGTTATCTCTGTAAACTGTAAGAATGACTATAACTTGTACATAATTCCTGAATGTTCTAGAAAGTGTCCATATCTAATCTGTGCAGTGACATCGCAACATTCGCGGTATGACTAGAGAAAGGTTAAAAAGATGTGAGACTGAAGTAAACAACATGTTTCCCGTTGTGATATTTTTGCGTGGAGGTCGAGCCAACGTCACGTACACCCCACCACGATAAATTATAACACACGTCCTCTTTTTTGCACACACAACTTTCTGCCTTATTGCTTTTGGAATAGGTTGAATAATAGCGAGAAGTTTGCTTAGAATTGTGGCAGTAGGCGAGGGGTCATTGGAACAGTTTAGATGGTAAAAAGTAATTACTGGCGTGTCACTTTGAAGTAATCGCGTGGACGATGTTTGTTGGCGAGTACTTCCTG